TCTCATTTTGTAGAGAAATCTTTACTCTACAAGACCGATTGTTTATCAAGTACTGAATGGAAGAGAAAAAGGTTCGAAAGTAAAAATATAGGTTTTTTCCGCGTACAGTAACAAACTTTAAAAAGTTCGTCTCTTCTCAACGAAAGGTCTTGGAGAGGTGTGAGTGGTCTTATTTTGTAGAGAACACTTTACTCTATAATGCATAATATTAAACTCAATAATAAAAAAATAAATAAATTTCTAAAAAGGTCTAAAAAAAGAGAGGTTACATTTCATTTTCTTTGACGGTGCACATTAGGATTCGACAATATATACACTACTGGATAGAGCAAGTCTTCCTCTACAAGCTCATACATATTCGGTTTTGGGATCAGTAACTTATAGTCGCCTTTTAGTAGTAATGTTGTTGATCTTTAAGACGATAATGAATAATATACTAACGATATGTTTCTCACTGCTACTGGCTACCTCTCACATACAGTTAGTGTGGTAATCCCTTAAAATGGATTCTAAAATATATAGTTTCGTTAACAATTATAGTGCCTTGTAATATGATGATGAGTTTCATATCTTTAGATCACTCGTGGCTGCTCTGAATATTTTTATCCTTTTCTTATATGAGTGAAATTGATTTCTATATTAGTGTAATACTAGAGAACTACCAATGGAATATCTCTTTTCGCATATGCATATCTTTCTGTTCTCTTTCTTTTCGCTCGGCGCATTGAGACGAAAGAGTTAACTCCGCACATGAGTTATCTTAACAATGTGGACGGAGATTATATGCTTGTTCTCTACTATTCTGTTTTATTGTGTTTATAAATAGAATGATAATATTACGCCTTCTGTCGGATTAAAACTTTTTTTCTCTGTTCTTCTTCTCTTCTTTTTTCGGATGAATGCAATCCAACATTCATGATCTTTCATTCTGATCCATACATACTGACTAGCAATATTCATTATGCCGAATTTTCTTTTTTAAACCTTTCTTTTTTTGAAAAAAGTTATTTTGCGTTAAAAAAAACCAGCATCCTTTTCCTGTCTTTTTATTATTCTTGTCTTTTCTTCTACTATCATATGGATTTCCCTAGTAAAAAATTTTTTTTAATTCTTATAAGAGTCTTATCGGTTTCTTACGAATTTCTTATATAAGAAGTTGTATGAAAATGATAAGGAAAGTTCTGGTAAGAAATTTATAAGAATTTATAAGAATTTCTTACAAAGTTTTTTCAATCACTTTTCCATCAGATTTTTGAAACTAATGTCTTTTCCAAGGAGCGCTTCATGTTTTGATTACCTTGAAACCTTTTGGATCTCTTCAGCAAAGTAACTGTGAGAAGTTTTATATACGGACAAAACCTATCCGTTTTCGGCTTTTGAGAAATGGAAACATGCTGCTAGAGCGAAGAAAAAACCTTATTGAAAGATAATATAAACTTTAGAATAGACATGACAACAGCTTTCCAGTCTCTCATTTCTTTTTTAGTTTTCTAATGTCTTCTTCTTAGTGCAGGGAACACGTTTATTTACTGATTGTTAGATTCCAAAGAGAAGATTGTTTCACAACGTCATCATAAAGCAATTATACTAAATATAATGATCCGTGATTTAGTGGTTATTACTTAGTTTGTCAGGATATAGCACGCATGTTAGACTGCGTGTTTTCTTTTTTTTTCGAATGAAACTGACTCAGTTCAATCATTCAAATCTTCTAAATACTTTCTCGTAGATAGAAACAGATTTCTTTCGGCATTCTTATGATTTCTTATGAATATTTTATAAGATTTTTCTAAATTTCTTATCCGAACCAGTAGACTTCTTATCATTTTCGTGCAACTTCTTCTATAAGAAATTGATAAGAAACTTATAAAAAATTTTGTAAGACATTTACGTGGGTCTTATCAACTTTTTATAAAAGTCTTATTAAAGGACCTCGGCGTTTTTTCGGATATATCGGTCCCTTTCAAACAGGAATGAAATACATACAGTTGGATAGAGGAAGCAAAGGCGCATCGACTGGTGTTTTTGGTTTTTTGATTGAACCATAGGAGAGGAAAAGTAGAGAGAGTTTCAAAGTACAGACGTTCTGTAGGAAAATAGGTGTTGGTCATCTTATAATTAATTTATCGCATGTTTTAAAAATAACCCATCCCGAGTTTAGAGTTTAAAAATTGCACCTTTGAATAAGATTCAGATTTAGACAATAAAAATCGCATATTGTTTTTATCCTAACTGGTGAAAAAAATTGTTTTTCAAAAATATGAAGGGTTTTTGCATCCATGAAAAATGTAATATTCAATTTTTTTCACTCATTTTCCGCTTCTAATAAAAACTAATATCATGTTTGTAATCTACGGCTAAAACTGCATCGAATAGCCTATTTTAGACGTGTTCACTGCCTTACTACTTTTGTGGTTTTCACCATCAGACTTCCATTTTTTTGCAAAATGAATGTCATATTTGGAATCGGCATCAAAAACTGAATTGACTGATGTGCATAATTCTCCTACCAGAAAGCTAATTACTTTACCCTTTTTAGGAAACTTCAAAACGTTATAACTTTTTGAGAGAAAGTCGTGGAGAGTTGCGCAACTTCTCATTAAAAAGAAGATTCGAACTTCTTCAAAATTGGATTCAAGTAAACTCCTGAAAAGTTTTTGTTCGAACAATGTATCAAGACAATTGGAAGGTACTATTTTGAAAAAAATCAAGTTGAGGCGTCTCTCTTTTCTGCGCAGTATCGTCCTTTACACGATGGTATTGTCAAAAATAGATGAATATGTTTTTTGAGACACCCTATAGAAACCACATGCATCTCTTGGAGTGAAAGACTAAAATAGTTGACTATGAAAAGCGAAAGAGGACATTGTATCTAAAACTGTCGCCATGAATATAGAAAAATATAAGTCTATGCGAAGTATGAAACGAACTGAAAAAGAAAATAATATTCGATGTTCAATATATATGACGTAGATGATAGAAATAGAACTCTTTTATTGAAATGGACAGAATGTTAGATCAGCTAAGAAATAGTAAGAAAATTCATTCATCTTGAATTATCGAAAAGTAAAATACGGTGAATGGAACATCATGGTGAGAAGAAACAACTTTCTGTTTCGAATAAAAACTATCTAAATATAAGGCTTTGTAGTGGAGAAAAAACTCTACAAAACAGGAGTCATGCCTGTTATTTTACTCAGTGCATTTACTCAAATACGCACTTGAGTTGCGAAAAGGTGTCTCAACTTCGTGGTTTACCATAGATATTAGATATTGTCTAAATCTGAATCTTATTCAAAGGCGCAATTTTTAAGCTCAAAACTTGGGATGGGTTATTTTTAAAACATGCGATAAATTAATTATAAGATGACCAACACCTATTTTCCTACAGAACGTCTGTACTTTGAAACTCTCTCTACTTTTCCTCTCCTATGGTTCAATCAAAAAACTAAAAACACCAGTCGATGCGCCTTTGCTTCCTCTATCCAACTGTATGTATTTCATTCCTGTTTGAAAGGGACCGATATATCCGAAAAAACGGCAAGGTCCTTTGTATATAAGAAACGATGTCCAGGATTATTAATACGAAAATTAAACTTACTGCATTTTGAAGTACATAAAAAGAATTTTTCTCTTTAACTATCAGCATTTCTTTTTCCAAAACTCTTAGATATACTTGAATAATACACTTGGTACTTTTCAACGTCAAGAACTAATATAATCTCTAACATAGCAGAATGTTGTTTAACGAGAAGAATAGAAAGAATACTAATCAAGGAGCAATGCGAGTATTTCGAAATTCAAAATATCGTTATTTATTCTGGATTCTATTATTAATATTACTTTGTATTTCACTATTTTATTACAAATTTTCTTTTGTTGGTATTTATTCTAACGATATACCAATTCTAACAACATGTACATTTTCAAAAACATTTAATTATTCTATGAATGAGAGAGAATCAATTAATTGTCAGTTATCAAATAAAGAAAGTGGCAATTTTTTTTGTGAACAAGATGGTCTATGGAATCGTCGAAAACAAATTTATCATATTCAACGTCAACGAAATGAAATGAAAACGAAAAATAACTTATTTTTTAGTACAAATTATGAGCCAACATTTCATTGTTCATTTGAACGTCGTTTTGGTGCAATTGGTGATGGTGGTAAATGGATATGTGATTCATATCGTTTTGATACAAAATCAACATGTTTAATTTATAGTTTTGGTTCTAATAATGATTTTACCTTTGAAATCGATCTAAAAGACTCTTTGCCTAATTGTGATATTCATACGTTTGATTTAAATAAATATGAATGTCCTGATCAGATTTGTACATTTCATCAACTTAAACTTGGAAATGGTATCGATAAACATACTAAAACACTTGGTATGATCATGGATGAATTAGATCATGCAAAATATGAATTGGATATACTTAAAATTGATATTGAAGGTGGTGAATATTCAGTATTTCCATCAATGTTTAATGATAAAATTTATCCTCGTCAAATTCAAGTAGAAATTCATCACAAAAATGTTAAAGCAACTCACGAATTATTTGATTTGTTCGCTGAAAATGGTTATGTTATATTTCATAAAGAACCAAATTTATTAAACACAAAAATATTTGAATTTGCTTTATTAAGATTAAATCAACAATTTTTTAACTTAACAAATCATGATACATGTAATTAAATATGGATTATAGAACTGAAATTGTAGAATTAATTTAAAATAAGTGGTCACATCATATCAACTGTCAGCAAGCAATTTTAATGAATACCTATATCATCAAAGATTAATAGAAGGAAAGTATCTGGAAAAATAGAGAGAAATACTGGCATTACTCCACGTTGAGCATTACTCCACGTTGATTATTGATTCGAACTTATATAATGATATTATTCGTATTTCTCAAAAAAGTATAACGTATGAACCGTAAGGAACTATGTGAAATGCTTTGGATAATAGAAAGTATATAAATGAAAACTTTTTATTCTGCGAGGGTTATCATGATCAAAAAAACATCGTAAATGCATTCGTGCTTTTGCTTTATAAGTATGTCATTTTTTCGATACTCAACTTATTAATCGACTGAACGACCAAATATTCCCTAACAGCAATGCAAGAGACAATAGTTTTTGACGTTTTCTACCGTCTTACATGAAGATCCTACTTATTCTATCCAGTCGTAAGACCATTCTTTGTTTTAGTTCAAAACGTTCTCGACCATTTCAGAGCCCTACAGGTTAAACCTAACCTAACCTAATCTAACCTATACTCTCTAAAAAATAAAGGTATTATAAAATACGAAAAATGGTATAACCATTTGAAACATATCATAACTGTTTAAACGTTTTTTACTTTTATCAGAAAAACCCTTTGGCATTTTTAGAATATGAAAA